CTTCTTTCTACCAAAGAGTACAGGGGATCTTTTGAAAATCATAGGCAGGGCCCTGGAGGTAAAATAATTCATTTTGAATCCTCAGGTGGTATACATTTCCTGTCCATGAACATCCCTGATACATAGCAGCCCTGTATCTTCAGTCCAGTGAAAATAAAGAGAGTCCAAAAATACAATGTAAATCACACAAAGCCAAACTTTCAAAGGACAAATAAACAAGGTACCCAGTGACCTCAAGTAGTCAGGTTGCAGCTTCTTCCACGTGGATATCAGTTTCAGCCAAGAACAGCTTTTACATTCAGAAGGATCTCTTCTAGATTTCACTTACATGCTTTCTTTCTTACAGACACTTGTGGGGGCTAGGGGTGCATCTGAGCCTCATAATTCTATTAACTGATGTATATGGAGATGAAATCTTAGAGATCATCAAGGCCAACCTCCTCATTTTACAGATGAAGAAACTGAGACACACTTAAATAATTTGCCCAGGGTTATATAATTAGTTATTATCTGCCAAGTCTCCTAACACACACCAACACACTCAGGCACTGCCTCACATGGCCCAGAATAAGAAAGGGGTCTTCTGGATATGAGCCAGTACCTTTATTCTTTCTCCTTCCTGAGGCTGTAAATCCCTTCAAAGCCATATTCCCATCAGAGAATCAATCATTCATATTCATACCTGTTTAAAAGTAGTGGTGAATCTGACCAGCCAGCGTTGGTACCAAGTCCCTGTTGAGCTTTGTATTTCGATGAACTCATCCATTTGCTTGGGGGTTTTAATGTGGGAAACCTGAAAGGAGAAAAAAAAAGATCAGAGCTGAAGAGTATAAACTCAAAGTGCTGCTTTCCCCAATTTTTGGTCCTTAGCCATTAAAAAAAAAAACAACTTTGGCTTTGAAATTATCTCTAGATGTCTTGTAAGAAAAGATCCGTTCAATGAAACTATACATCATTTCCTAGCTGATGGATCACTTTATATTTCTCTATGAACAATTTCCATCCTAACTATAGCAGATCAATTGAAAAGTAAGATCAAAGAGTTAAAGCTGGAAACAATGTTAGAATTATTTAGCTCAACCCATTCATGAGGCAAATGAGGAAATTGAGGCCCTGAGAGGTTAAATGGCTTCCCTATAGATCTGCAGGTAGGAAATTTCAAAGACAGGTGATGGGGTCCTCTTAGTCTGAATCCATTTTTCTTTTCACTAAACCTGGCTGCTTTACTGGCAGAATAAAACAGTTTAGATTGTTCTCTGTTTTACAACCTATAGAAATAGATGAATAGTCATACTTACATCTATCAGAGCCCTGGTAATCACATTTGGTCTTATAACAGTACTATGAAATACGCATTATTCACCCCCTTTTGCAAATGAAAAAACTGAGAAGCAAGACCACATAGCCAAACAGTGGCAAAGCTAGGATTAGAATTCAGATCTCCTGACACCCAGTTCAATACTCTTTCTTCTATGCCATACTGCCTCATGTGCATAGAGTAAAGATGTCCTTCCTTATGAGGTTGGAAGCATCCACAATGCACATATGTCCTTTACAGTCTACCCAGTATGCAGTGAGTAGCATGTTATAGGAAATTGCCATCATTGCTTACGAAACACAGCGTGGTATTATATAACCATTACAGGGCAAGAAGGAAAGACTTTGATAAACACAAGACAAAGAGTATGAATCTGTGTCAAAGGATAAGGTCCTCTTCCTATCGTGTAAGGTGATAGAAGGCTAGAGTGACAACTACTTCAGATCATAAGATTAATAATATTAACAAATAATATTATATCAAATACATAACAAATAATATTAACATGAGATTAATAACATTAACAGATAATTGCTCATTTGCATTTTGCATAGGATCTGAGTATCATATAACTTGCTCTAAGGAACTCATTTAGGTTCAGCAAAACTCAGACAGGCAGAAGTATCCAGCAATTCTAGTTTCCAGGGCAAATACAACTCACCAAGAAGCTAATGGTGAAGGTCCCCCTGCTGGATGCAAAAGGAAAGGTGGGCTAGACAGGAATTACACCATTTGGTAGCTTTCTACTTTAACTAATTACTCTTACTAACCATAGACTGAGTTCAATTGTTCTCTCTTCTAAAGGAATATAAGTTTAGTCAGCACCTTCCACAAATTAGCAACCCCCCCCCGAGGAAAGTCCTGAACACCTACACACACACACACACACACACACACACATACATTTATAGCTCTACTATAAGGTGTTAGAAGGAATTCTTTGATTTGAGCCTTTGTGGATTAATTGAAATCATGTCTCAGTAATCCCACAAAGATACTTTTTACCAATAAACATTGCTTTACCTCTAATATATAAAGAAATAGCATCCAAATTTATATCCTACTTTTCTTTCTTCCTTTATCGTTAGGAAGAATTATTAACCCATCCCAGAGAGATCTGGCCACTAGAATGTGGACCAAATAAAGTACAATTACTCTAAATTATAATTAATTAGAGTACACCACTCAGATTCATACTCTAAATTACAAGGTCACCTATTTCAACCTATGTCTTGATTCCCTGGGGAATAACCAGCCACCCCATTTTCACTTGGAAATTGATTGAACAATGGAGACTAGATAGATAGGGTTTAGGAAATTCATTCAGCAGTATGTGGAATACCTGGCACCATCCAGCTAACTGCTATAACAGGAAAAAAGAACATTAAGTCTGAATTCTGGAAAAGTTTAGGTTGACTAGAGCTATGGTTAAGAATTTCAGCACTCAGTGTAAATTTAGATGCATACATAGGGTGAGAAGTCTTCCCATGCAGACTGGGAGAGAAAACAACTATGGCAGCCCTCATGGCACAGCTAACAATATGTAATCCACAATTAACATCCCTTTTTAAGGTGGCAAGAAATGCTGGGAGATAGGGTCTAAGAGAGGTGCATGACCCTCAGGGATGGTACCACCAAGCATAGGGCCTACAGAGGACCATGATACATGAGGTAGTGAGATAGAAGAACATGGAAAGGAAGCACTCTCTCACATATTGGCACTCTGGGACAAAGTTTCAATCACCTCACCCTAGTTACAACTCTGATAGATGCTGGAATTTTGACCTTCCCTGTGATTCTTTTTCTAATAAATTATGTAAATTCACTTAAGGGGAGTTCACAGCAGAAAATAGGTTATATGATTATATTCAGAAAACTAATATTTTCTTATATGAAGTGATGCATAATAAAGAGACAGTCAAAAGAATAATAAACACAATTGCTACAGTGTGTTTGTGTGTGTGTGTGTGTGTCTGTGTGTGTGTGTGTGTGTGTGTAGATACATCTGCAGGCAGAAGTTGTGCTCAAGGACTTTCTCATTCGACCCTTGTCAAGACTTTTAATCTCCCTCAACCTCAGTCTCTTCGTCTATAAAATGGGAATAATAATCAATAGCACCTACTTCCCATGGTTGCTGTGAGGATAAAATGAGATATTATTTATAAAGCACTTTGCAAACCCTAAAAGCTATATGAACACTAGCAATTATTATTTGTATACATCATAGTTTAAAGTTAACTTGCTAAAAGATTTCAGTCTTCCACTCACTACTTTTTCTGCCTCCCATCTGCCTAAACCCTCTTAGTAGGATATGTGCCCAACACTAAAATAAATAATGCTAGAGGGGCAGAGCCAAAATGATGGATTAGAGGCAGCAACCCAGGTAAACTAGCCCAAAATTCTCCTCCAAACAACTTTAAAATAACTCCTCAAACCAAATTTTGGAGTGGCAAAGCCAACAAAAGGTTAGGGTGAGACATTTTTCCAGCCTAAGACAACTTTTGAGAGGTGACATAGAGGCTGGCCTAGAGCTTATGCAGTGAAAGGCAGCACCAGCTTCAGGAGCTCTGAGCCCAGAGATAGTAAAGGGGTCAGACAATTGGTCATAGAGAGATTACAGGGAACCCTTTGCTGGCATTGGGTACAGCTGGTGCCAGTTGGCACCTCTATTGTCCATAAGCAGTTCTGGCTCCAAGTTCCAGGGTGGAGAAGAATGCATGTGATGGATCACAAGGGAGCAGGGCCTGGTCACAGTTCCAAAGCAGAGAGGAGCCCTAGCACTTGGGGCTGCAGGAGAGCAGGGGTCCTGGTTATAATTCCAGAGCTAAGAGAAACACTGGTACTTGTGACTACAGGGAAGCAGAGACCCTCCCTGGGCAAACACCAGAGTGCAGACCAGGAAAGTGGTGACCACACCTCTGCCTGGATCACATCACCTTGGAAGCACCTAAAACTTGCAGACCCCCCAGAAATGGTACTAAAAACAGCAGCATGAAGAAGTCTGAAGCTTGGAACAGTGCCTCCCTACCCCCAAGGGAGCAGAGCTCAACTTTAGCATGAAGTTCAATGTCAAGAAATGGGCTGAAAAAAAATCTGGGGGAAAAAAAATTTGACCATAAAAATCTACTAATCTCAGGGAAGACCAAGAAGACAACAATGTGAAAACAGCTATATCCAAACCCAAAAAGAAAAATGCTAATTGAACACAAGCCTAATGAGAATTCCTGGAAAAGTTAAAGAAAGAGATAAGGGTAAAGGAGAAAAACTTGAAAAAAGAAATGAGAGTGATGCAAGAAAATCATGAAAAGAGAATTAACAACTTGATATAAAAAGGCACAAAAATACTGAAGAAAATAACACTTCAAAAAAATTAAATTGGCCTGTTAAAAGACACATAAAAATTCACTGAAAAAAAACCTTTTTAAAAAGCAAACTAGGACAAATGGAAAAGGAGGTACAAAAACTCAATGAAGAAAATATTTTCTTAAAAAGCATAATTGGCCAGATGGAAAAAGAGATACAAAAGTTCACTGAAGAAAATAATTCCTTAAAAATTAAAATCAGGCAACTGAAAACTAATGACTCCATGAGACATCAAGAAACAATAAAATAAAGTCAAAAAAGAAAAAAAAATAGAAGAAAATTTGAAATATTTCATTGGAAGAACAACTGACCTGAAAAATAGATTGAGGAGAGATAATTTAAGAATTAGTGTATTACCTAAAAACAATGATCAGGGAAAAAAAAAAGGAAGAACCTAGATGCCATCTTTCAAAAAATTGTCAAGGAAAACCACCTCAATATCATAGATCAGAGGGTAAAATAGAAATTGGAAGAACCCACCTATTACTTACTGAAAGAGATCCCAAAAATGAAAACCCCCAGGAATATTGTAGCCAAATTCCAGAGTCCCCAGGTTAAGGAGAAAATATTGCAAGAAGCCACAAAGAAACAATTCTAATATTGTGTGGCCACAGTCAGTATAACACAAGATTTAGAAGCTTCCATGTTAAAAGATCAGAGGGTATAAATTTTGACATTGCAGAAGGCAAAGGAGCTAGGATTACAATCAAGAATCACCTACCTAGCAAAACTGAGAATAATCCTTTAGGACGGAAATGGATATTTAATGAAATGGAGGATTTCAAAATTCCTAATGAAAAGACCAAAGCTGAATAAAAAATTTGACATTGAAACATAAGTCTCAAAAGAAGTATAAAAAGGTAAACATGGGGCAGCTAGGTGGCACAGTGGATAGAGCACCAGCCCTGGAGTCAGCAGTACCTGAATTCAAATGCAGCCTCGGGCACATAATACTCACTAGCTGTGTGACTCTGGGCAAGTCACTTAACCCCAATTGCCTCACCAAAAAAAAAAAAAGTAAACATGAAAAAGAAATCACAAGAGACTCAATAAACTTAAACTTTGCATTCCTATATGGGAAGATGTAACATGTAATTCCTAAGAACTTTATCATTATTAGGGCAGTAAGAAGCAGTCTACATGGACAGAGGGCATAGATATGAGTTGATTATGTTGGGATTACCTCCAAAAAAATGAAGAGGTGAGAAAAGGATGAACAGGGAGAATGGGGGGTAGAATGGGGGAAATTACATCACATAAAAGAGGTGTGTAAGAAAGAGCTTTTACAGTAAAGGGGAAAATAGGGACATGGCAGGCAACATTTGAACCTCACTCTCATCAGAATTGGTTTAAAGAGGGAAGAAGATGTGCATGTACACATAATATATATATATATATATATACACATATATGTATGTATATACACACATATACTCGGTTGGGTATAGAAATATATCTTACCCAGCAAGGAAACAGCAAGGGATGGAGATAAGAGAAAGAGGGGAGATGATAAAAGTGAGGGCAGATTAAGAGAGGCAGTGGTCAGAAGCAAAACAAACTTTTGAGGAGGGTAGAATAAAGAGAGAGAGAAAGAAAGATACATAGAAAAATATGTGATGAAGAGAAATACACAGTAATCACAACTATGAATGTGAATGGGTTGAGCTCATCCATCAAATGGAAGCAGATAGCAGAATGATTAGAAATGAGAATCCAATAATATGTTGTTTAACAAGAGACACACTTGAAACAGAAAAACACACAGAGTTAAAATAAGGTGCTGGAACAGAATCTGTTATATTTTGGCTGAAGTAAAAAAAAAAAAAGGCAGGGGTAGCAATCCTGATCTCAAAGCAAAAACAAAAACAGACCTAATTAAAAGAAATTGGGAAACTACATTTTAATAAAAAGTACCATAGTCAAGTAATATCAAATAAAATTATGGCAAGTTTCTCTCATTAAGGCCTCTTTTTTCAAATATATAAGGAACTGAGTCAAATAAAAATAAGAGTCACTCCCCAACTGATAAATTGTCAAGGGATATGAACAGGTAGTTTTCAGAAGAAGAAATCAAAGCTATCTATAGGCATACGAAAAAATGTTCTAAATTATTGTTGATTAGGGAAATGCAAATTTTAAAAAATTCTAAGGTATCAGAAATGGTACCTATTTATCAGAAACGGCAAATGCTGGAAGGAATAAGGGAAAATAAGTACATTAATTAATAGCTGGTAGAATTAGTTCCAAATTGTTCCCTAGAATGGTTGTACCAATTCACAACTCCGATAGAAACAGGATAGGTCCATTTGTATTGATTTAAGAATAACTTTTCCTAAAACCTTAGTTGATATTCACTGTTTAGCAAATAACTGTTGTATGTTTAGCACTGTATATTAGAATGACATAAATAAATGGAAGACACCATGCCCTTCTTCAAATAGCTCATATTCTAAGTGAGAAAACTCAAATATATACACATCAAAAAAAATTTTCAGAACAATTTCATAAAGTATCAGAAAGTGGAAAAAATTTATGATCTAGATTGGAAGTATAAGTCCCGAAGGAGTAGAGGATAGTAAAATGGTCAGTGTGATCAGATATCACCTCCTAAAGGAGGTGAGTTTTGAAGTAGAAGTTGATGGAAGTGATGGAAACCGATCAGTGAGGGAGGAAAGTAGAAGGCATTGTTTGGGTGGATTGCTTGTTGGCGAAGTCCATTATCTTAACGCATAGAATACCTATTTCAAAAGTGTCATAGCTGGCTTTCTGAAGGCAGTCGCATACTCACTGTGAATACTTTCTCAGGTGCCCCCTTGGCTCGCATATTGGTGTCATGCACGTGCTTAAGAATCATCCAGGCTTCATCATGTTTACCCATCTGGAAAAATCAAGGGAAGGATTATTCCAAATCAATTACTGTCACAATCTCCATTCATCTTGCCCTCATTTAACTATCTCGGGAGGATGTCTCTCTCATTATTCTTCCTGCTCCTTAGAAAGGAAAAGCCCTTCTAAGCTATGGTGATGTTTGGTATTTTCTAGGCTTTATTTCCTTTTCCTTGGTTGTTGAGACTTACTCATGTCTTAATGAAGTTTCCCTTTAATCTCTTCTGTAAAATGGGAATGATGTTTTCATTATGAAGAATCCTGCACCCAACTACTAATCTCTTCATTGCATGGTGATCAAACACGGTTCACAAAGCTTATGTCAGAGGAATGAGAACTCTCATTTCCTACCAAGCAGGAAAAGCTTTGAGTGTAAGTTCAATGACAGATGTATACCTGTCACCAGCCTAGCCAAATGTCAAGAGATTTATTATTAGAAGGTTGACCACCAGGTGATGAGGTTTTGTTCTTTTGGGTTTTTTTTTTCACCATAGCCACTCATAAAGATTGTCTAGATGTAGAAAGACTGCATGTAACAATGCCTTGCATTAAAATATATTTGTTAGATTGTTATGACCTGTATCAGTGGAATACTGAAAACAATGCAATAATCCATGTTTTTAGAAATGAAATTAGCTCTGAAGTACAAATGTTAAACATCAGTATCACCATTTACTATGAATTAATTTCTTTTAATATTAACAATCAATAGGATATTTATTTAATCCCTTCTGTGACAATCTTTTGCCCTAAGGTCTTCTAGTCTTGTAAGTGTTATTCTTTTTTTCTTTCCCCCTTTACCTATCATCCTTGTTCTCTCAAATCACTAATATCAGATCCAAGTCAGACATCACAGCTTAAGCATCCAGGGAGATTTTTGCCACAAGGGCCATGTGAAACCATCAAGAGCCTCCTATGTCTATAGTAATCATTGTCCATTGCACCTTCCTCTTACATGCTAGCATTGACCCTATACTCTGGATTTCTTTCCTTAGGTCCCTCTTGCAACATTACTCTCCTCTTATTGGAAAGCCTAGTTCTCAGAATTGTTAATTCCCCTGTTTTGTGCAGGCAGCAAAGCAGCAAAGAGCTGATTACTCTAGCGTCTTTTTCACCCACAATACGACAAGCACCAGAAATAGGAGAGATGGTCTATCTTCTCAACATTGCTTTAGGCTGCTCTTTAGTGCCTTCTGCTGTCTTTGGTTTAAAAATAAAAAACTCATTTACTCCTTGGTTTCTTCCTATCTCTAATAAACTGCATAGTGCAAGAGGCTCCCTGAAGTTATAATAGCAAGAATAGTAGGTTAGGTGAAGCTAATTTATAATTCACATCAACTAATGTGAAGGAAGTCCCAAAATGTTAGATTCTTCATGGCATTCAAGAAGTAAACTGCTAGAAGAGAAAAAAAAATTTGAAAATGCAGTCATTAAAAAATAGGAATTAGCCCAAACTTAAGGATGTGGGTGTTTCAACCAGAGTCTAGGAAGCAAAGGAAAGAAAAGATATTGGATCCTGACAGTATGAAAATACAGCCAAGTCTGATCCTTTGGTTGTTTGCTTATTGAATTCACCATGAAATATTACTTTGGAACATGCTAACTTACCTCCAATAGAAAACGTGGACTCTCTGGCATGAACTTCAGGGCAACCATGGATGCCATGCATGGGAGAGCACAGACAATCACAAACACCCTCCAGCTATGGAAATGATAATTGGTTCCCATGCTAAAGCCCCAACCTGTAATGAAACACCAGGACACATTTCTTTCTGTATTAGCTCCCCTGCTAAAGAATTTATGCTTATAAGGTAATTAAATTACATTAACAAATACAGTGGCACCTAGAAATACAAATATGTAATGTCGTCATCCCAGCAAACCCCTGGAGAAGCTACGAATTTATTCCAACAATGCTCCCATTTCTCAAAATATTTGAGGGAAAAACTTTTTAGGAATTGCCGTAACAGCCTTTATAAAATACCTTTGTTGTAGTGGATGGGGAATGCCATATCTGTCCTCTGAAGATGCACTTAATTTTTTTTAATAACAAACAAAAGTCATCCAAAGTGACTTCTAGTGGAAAGTGTGATCTATTGGATGAAGTTAGGTAAATGTTATTTTTTTAATCAAAAATGAGGTATAATTTTGAATTAGTAAGTCTGTTTTCTTGTCTGGCTTATTCACCAGCACAGAAGGCAGCCGCAGAAAACATATTTCAAAGGTATTTTGAATAGCATAAGACATTGGAAAGAGTACTGGGCTAGGAAGCAGATACATGGGCTCTAGTCCAATCTCTTTCTCTGACTTGCTGAGTGACTTTGAGAAGGTCATGTTACACTTTGCACCTCAGTTTCCTCCTACATCAAATGAGTAGGATGAACTAGATGATGCTACAGATCTTGTCGGACCCTAAGATTCTATATATTGCGATGGAAGCATTCTGTGAATAAGCATAAGGCAGCTAAGTGGTACAGTGGATGGAGTATAGGGCTTGGAGTCAGGAAAACCCAAATTCAAATCCTGCCTCAGACACTAGCAGTGTAACCTCGGACAAGTCACATAACCTCTCTTAGCCTCAATTTCTTCATCTGTAAAATGGGAATAATAACAGCACCTACCCAACAGAGTTATGATGAGCAAATGAGTTAACATATGTAAAGCACTTTGCAAACCTTAAAGCCATATGTAAATATCATTATCTAGTCTTGGGAGATGACTCCTTTGAAAGGGATAATATTCATTTGGATAAGTTCTGATTTTTACATTAAAAGAAAATTCCCATTACTTTTGAGTTTATAACTTCATTTGTTTAGTCTCTGTTTTAAGGAAGCAAAGGGATATAGTATATAGCACACTGAATCTGGAGGCAGGAAAACCCTTACCACTGATATTTGCTAATAGTATGAGACCATGGGCAAGTCATTTAACCTCTATGAATTTTAGTTGTTTCATCTATAAAATGAGAGTAAATTAATGCCTGCAGTACTTATTCCCATAGGATTCTTATAAGGCTCAATCAAGATATGTATATAAACTGCTTTGCAGCCCCCTAAAACATTATAGAGGGAAGTCTTAGTCCAGTTTTATGCTTTAATGTAGCTTAAAGCTCTAAGCTTTAGCTGCACTAAGGCCGTCAGGACAGCCTGTATAATGAATCAGCTATTATTATAGCCCTCTATAAAGAGTCAGCTTTTATTATAACCATAATTCATTTTATCAAAGTTCCTCTAAGGACTGCGATCATATCTTTTATACTCTGTGCCTGACACAGCATCCTGCACAGAATGGACACAACAAACACATTCTTTGTCCACTGCCGTTACTGCTGCTCAGTTGGCTATACCACTTGATGGAAGAGGTCAGACAGAGGGTCTTCCACTTGGGGAAAAAGAAACCACTAGATAGCAGTTACTTAAAATACAGCTGGCCTCCTCAATAGAAAAGACGCTCTATTCAATTCATTCTTTCAGAACCAAACTCCCCTTCTCCTCGGGCTTGGTCTCCTCAGTTTCTTGATTTCTGTAGGGCGTTTCATTTTCATTTAAAAGCCCTTCCTTTCTCCCAGCAGGGGCAGTAGAACAACAGGCAATGACCAAAACTGTGCTTACACTTCCTCAACCGATGCCCTAAGATTACTCTGGCAAAGTCAAAAGTGAAGTCCAAAATTCCTACAGGCCTCCGACTCTGCTACGTGGCCAGAGAAATGCAGGCAGCCTCTCCAACTCCAAAACTTAGAAAAACTGCCTGATGGAGATTCCTTCCTGTTATTGCTATTGTTTCTAACAAATGCACATGTTTTATCCCAGTTTCATTACTCTCTCATCCCTCTAGGTTACTTCCCTTTCAATAATCTGAGTTTGGCTCATTCACTGGCCAGACCTCTGAGGCATTAACATAACTCGAATGGTGGGCTGCTTCCCAACATTTGGAGTAATCTGCATTTCTGGATGGGGAGTTTTTCAAAAGGCAATATTGTTCAATTTCATGTTCTTTGAGGCTGCCCTACTTTTCTCCATCAGGATTTCACAAACAGCTGGTGCTTCTGGCTGAAACAGGAATTAATCTCTCATAACAGATACTCAGATTTTCCAGAGCTTTGAGTGTGAATCATAGAACTGCAGACCACTAGAGAAGGAAGGGCCCTGGGATATCTGCTAATCCAACTGCCTCATTTTTGTCAATCAACCTAATCAACCAATCAATATGTATGTGTTTTGTGGTAGGTGCTGGGAATAAAAATCTAAAAGACAATTCCTTCCCTTAAGGAGCTTGCTTAGTATCCAACTGACGTTTCCAGAATTCTAGCCCACATTTCAGACCAATATTTCCAACTTCTTACCTCCTAGACATACCATCAGAATCTCAACTGTACCATGTCCCACACTGGGTTTATTATCTTCCTCAAAAAACCCATTCCTATTTCTGATTCTACTCTTCCTGCCAATGACACTATCATTCACCTAGTGTCTAGTGTTCAAAACCTTGACGTTACCTTTGATTCTTTTCTCTCCCTTATTTTTTATGCCTAGTCAATTGCCAAGTGCTATTGATTTTGCACTTACGTAGTTTCTTGTATACATCTACTCCCCTCTATTCCCACTTCCACTCTTGTAATTTTCCACTGGGGGTGGCCACAAATCTGAGCCCTATTTCATGTCCCAAGTCACCACTTCTAAACTTCACTAAAAGGATTGCTCATGTGTTTTTATCTCATCATAATCACTGTGGTCCATCTTTAAACTACCAGTGCTAGTAGAATGCTTTTCAACAAACTCTCCTACCCAGAAATGTAATTACTGACATATAATGCTAAAATGGTATGTGACTTGTGAATCAGGAAGATTATTTTGGCTGCTACATGAAAGATGGATTGGAGAAAGAAGAAATTGGAAGCACAGAAACCAATTAGGAGACTCTGCCTTAGGTGGTCTTTCCCTGTGCCTATATACTTCTGTGAACTGATCTATGCTAATGCGGGGCAGATATGCCTATCGTGGCTCCATGTGTTTCTTGACACAAATATAAAATGAGAATAAAAATACCTTTTCTACAGGTACAGTAACTGGACTATATGATCTCTTTAGCCCCTTTCCAACTCTATGAGCTATGAAGTGTGCCTATCATTTCTTTCTATTGCCTCTTTAAAATAATAATAACCTACAGGAAAGAAGGAAAACTTGCATAATTTCTAGGTAGATTTTTATTTTGAAATATCATGTGGTTTTGTTTCAGGAGGATCACAAGGATTTTAGAATAAGAGAGCCATCCAAAAATCATGTCTAAGGGAATGTTCCGAGCACAGGAGAAAGGAGGAAAAGAGTATTTGGATGTAGGTATCAACGCTATTGAAAACACATTCATGAGATGAATACTTTGAGCTTATAGCGCTTACCATAGTGTGGAATAATAGTCCAGGCCATTGCTGAAGCATAAATTCCTCCAATCATCCAGAACATGCAGAGCCAACTGAGGTGTTCTCCCCTCTTCTCACGAGATAAGAATTCAGAAAAATAGGCAAATACGATGGGGAGAGACCCCCCAATCCTGAGGGGGCAAAAATACCAAAGAGGAAGAATCAAGGCGTGTATAGAAAAGGGAAGCCCCCTTACATATACAGATAGTGTGCCATGTTGAGAGACAACAGAACTTGCAGAATAAAATGGGGAACTAAATTTCATTAAAAAGTTAGCTGGTCATTGTGGTTAAACTACAACAAAGCTAAGATGAATTGACTAGTTAGTAAGGCTAGAACATAAAATGAAAACAAATAAAACAGCTAGAAGCATTTTGATAAACTTAGGGGGCAATTTCAAGGAAGAAGCTCAGAAGTCTTATTTCATTATATTCAGAGCAAGGACTTGTCTCTATAATGGTTGGAATCCTGATTGAGACAAACCAATGTGGAATTGAAGCACCCAATTTACTCCTATATCTTAGGTATAATACTATGATCTTGATGCCTTTTTTTCTTTGTCTGCTTAGTAGATTTAAGAACTATATAGAGAATAACATACTGGGTTGTTTACTACTTTAATTTAAGCTATTTCCAGCTAAATTTCTTTTTTTTTATTTTTAATGGTTGGCATTTTTTTGTTATCACTATCACTATCAACTAAGCTCCCTTCAGAGAAATCCTTCCTTATAACAAATACGTATAGTCCAGCAAAATAAATCGGTACAATGGCCATACCTATCTCATTCGGCATCTCAAATCCATTTCTTCTCTGCCAAGATGGGGAGGTATATTTGTTTCATCTTCAGTTTTTTGAAGTCGCTACTGTTTACTGCTTTGATCAGACCTCGGCTTTCTTTCATATGTCAAAAATGCCCAACTCACTAGCTCATAACTCTGTTAGACTGTAAGGTCCAGGAGAACAGGGAAGGTCTAACATCAATCTTGGAATCAACAGTATCTAGCATAGCAACTTGCCCAATAAATGTGAATTTAATTGAAAGTGTCTGGTTGTGTTCATATTGCGGACATTTTATTTCTAAGCTTTATTCTAAACTGTGAGGCATTATTCCAAACATATCACCATCCCATTTCTCTTCCCTGCTAGAAATCCTAGAAATCATTTTTGACAAGGAATTTCTTACTTCATTCACCTAATTCTTGGAGAAGAGATAAAGGGCCACAGTGTCATAGCAGGCTATTATCACTGTATCCCAACTCTCCCAATACCCAATATCAACAGAGACAGAACACTCATCTGGATAGATCGCAGTATATAGCCCCTCCCACAAGTAACTGGGGAAGGTTGCAGGAGAAGGCTATGAAGAGATCATAGATCTGGAGCCAGAAGAGACCCTTATTTTACAAATGAGGAAACTGAGGACCTGTGAGGTTAAGAAACTTGCCCAAGGTCACACAAGTGGATCAGAAGTGGAATTTGAACCCAGTCATCTGACTCCAGAGTCAATGTTCTTTCTGCATTCATCACTGGTTTGACTCAGAGTGACGTGTCTTATGTTCCTAATGTACATACCCTATACCAGAGATAAGGCGGCAGAAGAGGAAGAAGCCATAGCCCTGCACGAAAGAAGACAGGGAGGCAAAGGAGGCGTTGATTGCAAGGGACATGCCAAGGACTTTCTTCCTCCCAAGCTTATCTGCCAGGCCACCCCAGATGAAGGCCCCGGCCATCATTCCCAGGTAGACTATCAGCCCTGTGAGAGGGAGAGAGAAGAGAAGGTAATAGAAAGAGTGACACAGAGAAAGAGAGAAATAGTAGGAATATTCAAAGTGTTCTGCATACAAAATGGAACATATTTTGGAATGGTGGACAGCCATCATATTTTCCCTCCTGGAAATCACAGCATCATTAACATATATGATCTAAGGAAAGAAAACACTTTGTAAACTTAAAAAGTTTGTTCTATGAAAGTAAGGCCTTAGTAGAATTATGTGAACAGTAAATGTACAAGGATAAGTTACTACATATAACACTTACTATGTATAGTAAGCATTTATGAATATCTTGTGACTAGTAAACATGCCCTAAGTGTTTACAATTTGGAATATATTTGTTTGTTTTTTAATGGTTCCTTTTCTGGTCAAAAAAGCCCCCCAGAGAACTTCTATCCCATGGCTCTATCTTTAAATGTTCCTCTCAAAGGAATATATTGCCATTTTGTTGAAATGGGTATGGAGAGTTTCTTTAAAGTCAACAAAGTATTTCAAAGTGAAGGGTAGGACAGCAAAGTATCAGTGTCATTCTCCAGCTGATGAGTCATAAAAAGACATGAACAGTTTCCAAAAGAATTGAGAACTATCAACAATTATGTTAAAGAATACTCTAAATTATTCATGATAAGAGAAATGCAAAATAAAATCACTCTGAGGATTCTCCTCAAAGTTGGAAAGATGATAAAAGATGAAACGGTCAACATAGGACTATGAATTTGTTCAACCATTCTATATAACAAGTTAGCATTGCGTAAGAAAAATCAATAAACTGTTTATATCCTTTGACCCAGCCATTCTGCTGTAGACTTTATATCCAGGTGAGGTGAAAGGCCCAATATATATTAAAAGTTTCATAACAGCATTTTTGTGGTGGCAAAAAAAACCCCTAGAAACAAAGTAGAAACCTATAAATTAGAAAATGGGTGAACAAATTGTGGCATAGAAGTGTAATGAAGTACTATTGCATCATAAAAAACAACATATATGATGGGAATAGATGCAGAATAAAGTAAGCGGAATCAGACCAACAATCAACACAATGAATATGAAAATATGAATGAAACTAATAATAAAAGAGAGTTGAACTTTGGTCCATTGTGATGACAACCTTCTTCCTGGAGAAGTGACTGTGAAACAAACTCTCTTTCTCTCTATGGACAGGTAGAGGGCTATGAATACAGAATATGTAGTCAGACAGAGTCTATGTCTGTTGGTTTTCAAAATGTTTTTATTTCTTAGGCTTCTGGGAGCCAGGAGAGGCAAAAATAGAACATATAAAAAAGGGCATGTATAAAGCTATATCCAATGACTGAATCTTTTAGATGACATGGAAAAGAAGCAACAAGACTAAACATGTAAACAATTACTTGTCTTATAATCAAGTCGATTTCTTAAAAAACACCTTGTTAAGTTAATTTCTAGACACTTGTAGTAATGCAATTATATTGTGCTAAAATAGCTGCCAGATAGCTGAGCTACCTACAGTCATAGGTGACCCTTATACAACTGACCAAATAAACAGTAAAGTATTACATCAATCGATACTTCCATCTAATAATAACTGATACTTTCATAAAAGTATTTAAGATTTCCTGTGTGTGGTATGGGGAAGGAGATATGACTCCAGACTGGCAGAGAGGATACTGAGCTTGAGACTGAGTACCAACATCAGAGGAGGAATTAGTGTCAGTGTTTTTGTTTTTTAGAAGCAAGACATGTATGGTGCCAAGTACTCTTCAGGAGAGACACAAGGAAAGATTTTGAAAGCTATAGATATGTAGGGGAAGCCACCTCCTCAATATGTCCCTGATTTCTAGTTTGTCTCTCTACAGACGAGAGAGAGAGAGAGAGAGAGAGAGAGAGAGAGAGAGAGAGAAGAGAGAGAGAGAAGAGAGGAGAGAGAGAGAGAGAGAGAGAGAGAGAGAGAGAGAGAGAGAGAGAGAGAGAGAGAATGAGAACCTTTCCTTTGGATGAGATTGGGCGCTCCCTTTTGGTTTAAGCTGAGATTTCATCTCACTCCCATCTAAAGAGCTTGCTTACTCTAGTATATTTTCTGGTATGTTCTAAACTATATAACTCCTCCAATTTCAGTTTGCTTAGATTAATTTATTTACTTATATACAATTTGTGATTTTTTTATAGGAAAGAATCAAGCTGGCAGGTTAAGCTTGGGGCTACCCTTATCCTTTAAGGAGGACCAGGAAAGCAACTTTTGTTCTGAATCTATTGTACCCTTATACTAGCAACATCTGTGAATCAGATAGATATTAATCTAGTCCAATACCTTTCTTAGATATAGGCAAAGAAAGGACCAATCATCCAACCATGCCTTTTTCCTGCTCTCTTGAAGGCAGAAATCAAAGCTTTGCTTGAAGAGGGTTGGAGTAAATTCCAAATCTATGCCACCTGTTAGCTTCAAGTCTATACATTTAGACAACCCATTTAGACATATCTAACATAGGATATACATATTCTACATAAGTAAATGCAAAAGTACAAAAGAGCTAATACAAAGTAATTTGAGGAGTATGCTGGGGCTGAGGGGGGGCACTAATAATCAGAAGAATTATATGAAGTCTCCTATAGGAGATTGTACTTGAGCTAAGTCTAGAGATTCTAAGAGGTGGGGATTAGGAAGAAGAGGATTCCAGGCATGGAGAACAGCCTTGCAAAGTCAGAAACAGGAGATAGAATGATTCCCTAAGTGTATATCGAGGTGGGAGGCTTTCCTGACTTCAGGTCCATTTCTTTTTTCCATAAGCCATCCAGGTAAGTAGATATCATGATGCATGGCTGTAAACAAGTCTGGCACAGCCTAAGTCTATACTCCTGAATCCCAAGTTGTTGTCAGAAGGGCCTCTAGTTGGAGTACAATTCAAAGCGGTAGTGGGCACCTGGATTCCTTGAGTTACTCCAAATTCATGTCCCACCATCCTAGAACTAATATCACAATAACCCCTATCAAGAATCCTAGAATCCTCCTAAGTATTGTGTTTTTGATACACCCACCATCCTGTTCAGGATCATCTTCGAGGGGAAAAAAATATGGTAACTCATTCACCTGTCTTTGTATACATATCCCATTCTTTCACTGCTTCCCTGGAGGTGGATGGACAGAAGTGTTATTTTCCAGATCTAGGTAAAGCTCATCTTTACTAGGTTTGTGTGACTTTTGAAAGGGCTAGGGGTTAAATTCACAAAATAACAACATGCATTTAATAATTTTATCCTCCATACAATGTGGATAGTGATGATGATTTTTAATCCTTTGGGAAGTAGAAACTGGCATTTCTGTTATTTCCTGGACTTAGTTACACTTTAGTCAGCTAATTAGGTGAAAATTAAACCACTGCAGCTCCTTGTCTGTTTGTCTTTGATTTTGTTTTGGTTTATTTGTAGTTCCACATCTCTCTTTCAGTTTGGGAGAGCTTTAAAAAAAAAAGCTGCCTGATTTTTCTCTTCCCAGCTCTGTAGGATGTGACAAGGTAACCCAAAGATACGCCCTCCAGATCTGTTTCAGTTTCTCCCCTCCAACCAGAGAAACAGTAAAATGCTGAACCTGAGTTGTGCTTCTAATATTCCTGCACACATCCATGAAACAAACATAAAAAACAACATTCTGTGAGGCTATTGTCCCACCACCAGGGTAATATCTGCGAACTATACCCAGGGGACACACAGAGAATACATTTGACCTGACCTGACCTGAGCTGAGCTGAACAAACTGAATTAAACTGCTCTGGGGATATGATCATCTCCTCCTCCTTGTGGAAATCTTTAGGTAAAAAGACAAAGCCCAAGGTTTCCCATTTCATTAAGCCATGGAGTTCTAGGTAAAAAGACTAGTCCCTACATGATTCAAGGAAGATTTATCATGATATAGGCTAAAAGGAAATGGAGTAGAAATCAAGGCATGCTATGATGAAAACATAATAACAACAATAATAATTAGCATTTATATAGAATGTTAAGGTTTATGAAGTACTCAACCCTTGATCCTTCCAACAGCCCTGTGATGATGGTGCTATTATTAGCCCCATTTTACTGATGAGAAAACTGAGGCTGAGAAAAGTTAAGTCACTTTTCTAGGATCATTTGTCTAGCAAATGAGTATCTGAAATATGTTTTGAACTCAGGTCTTCCTGATTCCAAGTCTAACATTTTATTTGCTATGCCTCTTTCAAAGAGTTCCTCTTGCTTTCAAATAGATCATAGATTTAGAGCTGGAAGAGACCTTTGAGGTAATTGACTCCATTTTGCCATGAGGAAACAGGCCTAGAGAAGTAATTTGCCCAAGGTCCCAAAGGCAATAGTGGTAGAGCCAAGATCCAAATCCAGCACCACTGAGTTGGACTCCAAAGCCAGCACCACTTTCCACTGTTTCCTGCTGTAACTCTATCCATGTTCAGAGGGTTAGCATGCGTGGCACAATCGATAGTTAGCCTTAGGGCCACAAATTCCTCAGTTCAAATCCTGCTTCTAATTTGAGCTTCATGGCCATGAGCGAGTCATTTAATCTCTCTGAGGCTTCCTTGCCAATAAAATAGGGCATAATCATTCACAGAACAAATCCCCTTAATAAAAGGATTTGTTCTGTAAGACCTGGACTCAGTCAAAGGGCCACTCTTGAGGACCTAGAAGGCCACATGTGGCCTCGAGGCTGCAGGCTTCCCACCCCTGATCTAGGTCAAACCATTTTCTTTATATTATTTTAGAACAGAATTCATTTTTCAGATATAGCAGCTCCATACAACAACCCATCTATCCTGTCCTTTTCTCCTCACTGGCTGAGGCCTAGCTCAGCAATGCAGTGACAGACAAGACTAAGCAGCTGGGACAGGGTGAGTATCTGCTCTGTTTGTAATCTGGGATTTGGGGAGAAGAGGAAGGGAGGAATATTTTGGAAACCCGAAAACAGCTTACCACAGGAGATGTAAAGGTACTTGGCTCATTTGATCAGCTAAAGGGTCGATCAAATTAT